GGGGGGGGGCAAGAAATAGAAACTCAGATGTTACAGTGAGAACTCTGCGATTAGTTCTGTATTTGCTGGCGTTGTGAGCAAAGCAACGAGGAAAGACAGTACGAAGAGCAGCACATATGGTCTTATAGATCGCGAGCCATCAGCATGCGTAAAATGTGTATATAAATATATCGCAGCGGTCTTTGGATTACACGAGATTTCGTGTACAGTCTATTATCTATCATAACTCATAATGCAGAGCCTAGCCTGTCCGCCATACCTAAACCCAGCAACACTTTTTTATTTGGATGAGCTTATGCCTTGACCAGCAAGCTCTCACCAGTCATCTCCTCGGGCTGGCTCAGTCCCATAGCCGCCAGAACAGTCGGCGCGACATCACCCAGCACTCCGCCGACCTTCTTGAGGCTCCAGCCCTCCGGCGCGTTGGCCATGATGAACGGCACCTTGTTGGTGGTGTGGCTGGTCTTGGGCTTGCCGTCAGGGAACTTCATCTCCTCGGCATTGCCGTGGTCGGCGGTGATGAATAGGATGTAGCCCTCCTTCTTGCAAGCCTCCCAGATCTTGCCAATGGCCTTGTCAGTGGCCTCGCAGCCGACAATGGCGGCCTCGTACACGCCAGTATGGCCGACCATATCTGGGGGAGCAAAGTTATTCATCACGAAAGGGAACTTGTGCTCCGCCAGACGCTTAGCGACCTGGTTAGCCACACCATCGGCGCTCATTTCCGGTGCCTTGTCGTAGGTCGCAACACTCTTGTTTGACGGCACTAGATCTTGCTTCTCGTCACGGGTCTCGAGAGGGAAAACCTTCTCAACACCTCCGTTGAAGAAGAATGTGACATGGGCATATTTCTCAGTCTCAGCAATATGGACCTGCTCGACATTTTGCTTGCCTAGCCACTCTGCAAGGACATTACCCATGTGCTGAGGCTTGAAGGCAATCTCGAAGGGGTAGTCGAGCTTGTACTGCGTCATGGTGACGAGGTTGATCTTGGGGTAAGGGAAGTCGGGCTTTGGTGAGCGATCAACGCCTCCAAGCAGCTGTGTGATTTGGCGGACACGATCAGATCGATAGTTGAAGAAGAAGACGGTGTCATCATCCTTGATACGGGCTTCATCCCCACCCACGATGATGGGCTTGAGGAACTCGTCATTCTCCCCCTTCTCGTATCGTTCCTTGACAGTCGCCACCGGGTCCGTGCTCTCCTCGCCCTCTCCAAGAACCAAGCCCTTGAGGGCAAGCTCGACTCTGTCCCATCTCTTGTCACGGTCCATAGCATAGTAGCGGCCGACCACAGTGGCCAATTGACCAATACCAATCTCCTTGATGGTGTCCAGGAGCTCCTGCATGTATCCGGCACCAGACTTCGGATCAGTATCACGGCCGTCTCCGAAGAAGTGGATGAAGACCTTGGGCACACCAGCTTCCTTGGCGGCCTTGAGGAGAGCATACAAATGCTCCTGTTTCGAGTGCTACGAACTGTGAGCGAGCCATGAAGCTTCTATATAGGAACAGAAGCACCTACCACACCACCATGAGAGATCAGACCGGCAAGGTGCAGTCTTCCGTTTCCATTCTTGGCCGACTCTAGAGTCTTCTTGATAACGTCGTTCTTGCTAAGTTCGCCATTCTTGATTGTCTGGTCGATGCGCACAACGTCTTGCCACACCACACGCCCAGCACCAATGTTCAAATGGCCAACCTCAGAGTTGCCCATCAGGCCCTCAGGCAGACCGACGGCGAGAGATGAAGCTTCCAACTCTGTGAATCCGGTTGCGCTCTTGGAGAACTCGTCCATCACGGGGGTCTTAGCGGCGGCAATGGCATCGCCGTCCTTTGGGGATTCCGCGGAGGGGATACCCCAGCCATCAATGACGACTGTACGTGCGAAGAAGCATCATAATTAGCCATCCGAGTTCAAGGTAGATAATAGCGTAGCAGCAGACGAGGAAATAGTCGGGGCGGCGCGTCTTATTCTTCTGCTTCTGCTCCAGGGTCTGCCTCGCGCTGCTCTTCTCTCCGTAGGATCGCTCCTCAACAACTGACAATGGTGGGGCAGTAGGGAAGGACGGGGACATACTCAGGCAGGCATTCTGCTCGGTTTTGGTCATTTTGTCTATGACTTGCTGGCGATAATGATTTGTGACGATACAAATGCAGAAAATTAGGATAGAAGAAGAGGAATTGCAGTTGAGTGATTTAAGGAGGACAGCGAAGACAATGTCAGGAGTTTTTGGGATGAGAGATTTCAACTGATGGTGGGGTTGTCCTGACGTCGATTGGGAAACAGCGCAGCTTTCCCGCTATCAATACAGTGTTTGCTACGGTGTTTAGACCTCATCTCGACTGTGATTGACTGTCCATCCCCCACGGTCTTCACAGTGCTAACAAGAGCCATTGATCTGGAGTGCCTTATCTAATGGAGGGGTCTAGAGCTGTGTGTAGTCCCTTCCCGTCTCAAGGTCCAACCTACCTATGAAAATTTCTGAATTTCAATAGGGCCGAAGCTACCTTAACCTTTCTTTTGAATCAGGCAATCGACTTCGCGTCTCACCAACAACCACGCGCTTTGTCCCAGACTGAGCAGTAGCACAACGGCATCCCATCTCCGCCTTTCCGACGACCACACTCATTAAGTGAGAGGCTACAGTTGCTGTAAAATATTCCACTTCAGATCACGATACCTTCAGTCGGAGCTGCCGACTTACAAGCCAACAATGCCGTCCGCTCCCACCGAGCCTCATCCGCTTGCCCTGCCTGCCGGCCTCTCCCCAGACTCCATCGACACACTCACCGAGCTGGCCCTCATCCTGTCCCGTCTACGGCCACCTCAATCAAATGGCAGCACGACTGGCCTGGCCACCGGTGCTACTCCAGCAGCAACACAAGTGACAGGAACTACACCTCTACCCAGCTCAGCCCCGGCCGGCAGTCCCGGTGGCAGTGGCACACTGAATCTCAAGGACGTGCCCACAGCGACGGACAGCATCAAACACAAGCTACAGAAGGCACGAGCACAGATACGGCAGCTGCCAGACATGAATCGGTCAATCGCGGCGCAGGAAGCCGAGATCGTGGAGCTCTTGACGAGGATGGCGCAACAGCGGGAGGTTCTTGGACGCCTCAAGGACGTCGGCGCTGCGTTCGGGGCAGATGGAGATGAAGGGAGGGACAAGATGGAGATGTGAAGGCCCCTCTTGCGGGGACCCATGTATAATGACCACCACAAAAAGGCATAGCGACGGCGTTTCTGGATACCAAAAAAGACTGTAATCTCTATATGGAGAAGACCAGAGCTGTCTCCCATATATCTAATGTACACCAATCCACACCAATTATCAGATTTTTGCAAAGCCAACGCCAAGCACAAGCGCCATTGATTGTGTATGTCCTGTCCCAATGCTGCCAGACACACAAAACACCTAAGTTCTTGAAACACCAACCTTTTTCAAAATATCATCTACGTGAACTCCGGGACCACCAGGGACGGTGTTCTTCCAAATATCCTCTACAATCCGCTCCTCTTCGGGTAGCACTTTCCAGTTAGGGGAGTGTTCCGCCTTCAGCCACTTGAAGTCGTCCACTTGATCCCACTGGTTCTTTCCGGGTGCTTCATTCTGAGCCATCTTTAAAACCCTAGTTAGCTCTGGGATAGTGTGTATTCATAGCTCGACTTACGAAGCAAGAAGGTATTGGGGCAAAACGCATCCCACTGCAGTCCTCGATGATAGGGTGACTCGTGCAATGGAGGTAGATGTCGAGGTTCTGACACTCATGTATCCGAACTTGACGAGCTGCGACCACCAGAATACTATTACGGATACCAGTAATGTGCACAGGGCCGTCCACATGGCCCGCTATGATGAGGCTGTTGTCAATGTTCTTGAGTGCCAGACTAGCAAAAGGAGCACCTTTGGCTGTGGGCACAGACATATCAACAATACATCCCTTGAGGTTTTTCAAGCTACCAGAGGAGGTCGCGCGAGCAGCAGTAGACGGTAGGATGATGTGCAGACCAGTCTGGTCTGATATAGCAATGTCTCGAGCAGTCGAGAAGCTGGGCTTTCGGATCCCCGAGCCGCCCGCCCTTGCCATCTCCTCGTTGTAGTTCTTGGAGAATGTCGGCAATGCGCCCAGTGAGTCCGTCTCGCCCTGTATAGGAGCTGACGGTATCTCGTCCGGGCGATTCTGTATGATTCTCGAGTCATTCTTGGCTCTTGACAGGGAACTACCTTGGCCGCGAGACTTGAATTGAAAGCGGCTCTTGGGAGCAAGCTTGGATGTCTCCTCGTTTAGCTGGTCGGTTAGAGCCTTGAGCGCCTGCACCACGGATTAGATGCTACGCTTGTAAATGTATAAGTTAATCTGCCTGACCTGGGTGTATAGCCTCTGATCGTAGGCAGGAACATAGTCTGAGGCATCCGAGACCTCATTAGAGAGTCTGGAGATACCAGCTAAGATGGTTTCGATGGCATCTTGGCGTTCACCCCCCGTTGAGGCAACTGAGCTTAGCTGGGAGACGTCGTCCTGGAGTGCTGTGGAGGCAATGTAAGCTTAAGACATTTAATGCTTGCTGTGCAGATCGACAGCCCTTACCAGTGATGGCGGCTTGGAACTGTTTATAAAAGCGCTCTTTCGGATCCATATCGAGTCTCAGGCCTGGGAACGCAGAATCGTAAGTCATAGGTCCTACAATTAATGTCTCCATGATGAAATGCTGTGTTAATCAGAAAAGCAAAAGCTGTAAACGCTCATATAGTTTATGAATGCGCTGTGTCTCATTCAGTGTCTATAGTCAGGTCTTGGAAGACTTATTCAACAGCCTGATAAGACGCAAGAGCAGGGCGAGAGGTAATTATAAGGGCTCACCGGGAAGACTCCGTGGTAATGCCTCGACTGGACAAGCAAGGTGACGGCATACAGACCAGAGTCTGTAAGATCCGAGTCGCTTTGCCGCTGAGAGAGGATCTCAGGCGCCCAAAGAGGTCTACGGTCGTGGCAACTTGCAAAGATGGTGTGTGAATGCTGCGTCTTGGAGGGTACACTTGCTGCAGAACGTGGGGAAGAGTGGGGTTACACACCACAGGGAATCAACCCTGAGAGCCACTAAGCAATGCAATGCATCTCATATCGAATCACGAACCAACCACAATGTGCAAATACTCCACTACGATGCTGATGATGCATTGGTGGCTCAGTGTTCAGCGGCTTCCTGCTGAGATATGAGTAACGAGCGAGAGAAATGAGTGAAACTAGTCTTATCAAACGGTCATACATTCTATGCAACTCGCCGTCTCCTTTTCTGCCCGTTGTAATTTGAGCACGTCTGGTGATTGTTCACGACTCCTGTTCCTGTCGACCGGTGATCACTGCCCTGACAAGACGGCTTCATCTATGCCCTCGAGATGCCCCACGAGCAGGGCAACCCCCCGCACACCCCGCGTTGGACCCTTTGCTTAGTTGATGGGGCCTCGAGGATCACCAGATGCACTCTGACGTAGTTACAAAGTGTTTCGGCGGCTCGAACAGTCGAAGCTTCGGCAATACTTCAGTGTTCTACTCAACTCCACCCGCATCAACCGAGTGAAGGTACTCTGAACGGCTTCACTAATTATGCAAGACCATGAATGCTAAGCTGCTAGCAAAATGCATTGTGGGATACCTTTAAATTTATTCCTATTGCCAATCGTGCGAGTTGAAATACTAATATCCACCTCTTACGCTATGAAAACAACATAATGAAAGTGAATCACTCTACTGATCGTACGCTTCCAAATTTGTATCTTTCCCGTCGTTTGAATACCCAAAAAGCACACGTATCAGCGTCGACGAAGAGTGCAGAATGGCCCCTGGGCATTCATCACCCGAGTGACAGTATCATCGTCATTATCCCACCATTTGACCAGCTTTTTGACGCCGCGTCTAGCTAGGTTAGCATCGCGATTTCGATATACAGAGTCTGTTTTGCGGACATCTGTTTTGTCGCTGACTATCCATCGTTTCTCCTCGCCCAAGAATTTGCTGTAAGTCATGTCCTCGCCATACTTCGCTCGCACATTCCCCTCGAGCGTCTCGCGAACGGCTTCCGTGGAACGTGAGCTGTTACCCTGTATAGCGACTGCTGTGAAAAATAGGAGCGTCCTGCTCTGCCTCACGGCATCGGCTACCTCCATGAGTCTCTCTGGGGTGATTGCGCAATATTGGAAGCACAAATACTGGAGCTGCGAAGGTTTCGAATTGATGAAATCAATTATGGCAGGAACCGCAGCATCATCGATGTAATTATACGCCAGGCCAAGGTCTTCTGTGATATAAGACTGGCCAATATCAATCATGCGGATGTTAGGATGTGATTTGAGAGCCTCAAAGAAGGAGATCGCGCCATTGCTTGTGATGCCGGTTGACTGTATCGTTATTCGTTCAACACTATGGCACGAGACTGCTGCCGCGGATAGAGATTTTAGGCCAGAGTCTCCGATGGGATTGCATCCTATGTAAAGAGACTCGAGTTTGCAGTAAGGTGACCGTAAGAAATCTGCGATGGCATCGGCCGCATCCTCTCCTAAGCCAATGCCCTCGAGGTAGACATGCCGTAAAGCAAGAGGCTTTCCATCTTCTGGGGTATACTTCGCGAGTTGTCTGAACAGATTTGCCGCTCCAGAGTCAGAGAGGCTTGTTTGATTGAGATCCAGAGTCCGCAAATTTCTCGTCTGCGTAATTAGTCTGAAGAGATCGGAAGCAGATTTTGGACCAAGCGGATTTCGTTTGAGCCAGATATTTGTGACTGCGTCCGACCTAACAAGGGCATCGACCAAAATCTTGAAGCTGGCGCTGTCAATGCAATTGCCAGCAAGATACCAAGTGTCAATCCTATCGGGGAAGTCATCGATGAAAGCCGCAATCTCACGAGCACCGACCGGCCCAATGATATTATTGCCCAAAAGGAAATGGGTGATGAAATGGTTTGTGCGCAGGCTCTGCATCAGTCTTCCAATGTGGTCTGGCCCAACGACCATTTTGCATAGATCCATTCTACCATCCTCATAGACGACACCTCGTTCAAACTCGGCTCCTTTTGTGTGATAGTTCGGCTCGCCATCGCCGCCGTCAAGCTCTCGTCCTCCAGAATCCGGGTCAGCCAGATACGTTCCACCGTTCTCCAAATGAGTGAAGAACGGAGCAAGTGTATCTGCTTCAGCGACGGTAACTGGCATGGGCAAAGCTGCAATACCCTCTTTCGAAACAGGTTGTTTTAATGAATCCCAAGGCCCCTGAGCAAGAATACGGGCAGACCAGACAGGACCATGAATGATGTGTTCGCCCGTAGGTAGCTGTGGCCTCTCTTGTATTCGCTGCCTGTCAAGATGATCACGTACGCGAATCCGATCCGCCTCATACTTTTTGAGGGCCCCTGTCGAGCCCTCGATTGATGGATACAGGAGACTGGCAATAGCAACAGCAAGTTGGTACGCTTTTGGCCTAGTTGATGTCCGCGACGGTAGCCGACGCAAGGTCCCGCTGATCTGTTTATTTGATACCTCTTCGTAGGGAGACGCATTAAGTATTGTGAGTGCCTGTCGGCAGAGTTTAGCCAAATTCACGGCTTCCTCCATGTTCGCTGGTACTGTCTGGAGGATAAGCTGAGGAGTTGTATCTGTTGATGTCAACATTTTAATCTGAGTGGCAGAAGCCATCTTGGCGTCTGTATGTGAATATGTAAAGCGATGGAATCAGAAAGCGAGTGCACAATGTAGACTCAGTCGAGTTTAAAAAGGTATCTAGTCGAATCATGAACTTCATCTTGACTCACTACCGCTACCGTTCGCGACTCCACAACGTCACACAGCTTCGCCTCACGCCGGTGCGCATTTGCGGATCTTCAACCTTCGACTGCCAAGACTCAACATTCATTGGTGAAAGCGCAAGGCAGAATTCCGAGGCATCGAAAGTTATATGAGGCAACGATACTAAAGAAAGTCTAGATGCTTCTTAAGTTGCTCCTCCATCTCAAGTTATGACTGAAATGTGGTGCTCAAGGAGATGTAACCCCTGAAAGTAATGGTGTAGTGCAATTGGTCAGTGGTTGTGTAACTGCCGGCCGGTGTTGTGCGGGTACAAAGGACCACCCAGCCGGCAAGCCCGTTGTGCCGAGAATTTTCGGTGTGATCTGATCTCTTCGACCCACGAACGCTTCGATCTCAAGCTCTTTCCCAGCCAGCCATTGACACCTCCAATGGATCCGGCCGCCTCATCATGCGCATTTCCAGTCAAAAAGTAGCCTCGCTATGCCGCTGCATCCACAGCAGCGCCGCGGCGCCCTCACCACGCCTATCCTCCCAGCGACAATTCCACCTGACTGCTTCGGCGCATCTCCCGAGACGGCGCAACTTCTTCACGTCGAACCCGCTCATGTCCCAAGATGGTAGTGAGAGCACTCCTTCTACAAAAACCTCACAGAACGGTGCCGAGCACCGCAGTGCCGACCAGTCAGCAGCAGCTGCTGCTGCGGCTAAACGGAAGTCGAGCAGGACGACGGGTGCGAAGAACTCGCTGCGTCGAGTAGCCATCATCGCGCAGCAACCTGGCGGTCGCGTGCCTGGTGCATCGACCAGCACCACGCCCGAGGTAGAAGTCGATGGGGCTACGTCAATCTCGGCAATTTGCGTGGCCGAGTCCTTCAATATGGAAATGGTCAAGGATATACTACAGGCACATGGGTTTCAGCTAGATCCGGACGGAGCAGGCTTCGAGGCCGCTGAAGTGGTCCATGCTCGTGGCTTCAGCAACGGAGACATCTTTGTGTTTCCCTCTGGCACGGTTGTTACATGGTCGCTGCCGCAGGAGGTCGTGACTCGACTCGCGACTCGGCAGCTGTTGAGGGCTGCGGAAGATCCTCACGTGCGGCGAGCCGAGCTCGAGGACCTAGAGTATGTCTCTGATCCAAGCCGAGATACGAGCGGCATGAAGGGAGACGTAGTTGTTCTTGGCACAAAGAAGGAGGAGCGTGAAGGGGACAGGCTAGACACTACTCTAGCAAAGATTGCGTTCTCATCAGGTCTTGCGCGAAGTACGAAGCTCGCTGTTTTGGAGAGCTCACTTACCGCATATCTCGAAGAAACAAGGCGTATTCCGGCACAGTTGTCCAAGGGGTCACGTATGGCGCTTTCCAGGAAATTCATCTTGCAGAAGACAGGCGAACTCCTCAGTCTACGCGCACAGCTCAACCACTACTGGGAGCTCACCGACTCTTTACCTGATATCTTTTGGGACCAGTCTTCAGAACTTGGACTGGAAGGCTATTACGACCAGGTCGGAAAGGCATTAGACGTCAATGTACGAATCAAGGCATTGAATCAAAAGATGGACTATGCGCAAGAAATCGCTAGTGTGCTGCGAGAGATGTCCAGCGAAAAGCATAATACGCGCTTGGAGTGGATCATTATCATACTGATCGCAGTTGAGGTCCTCTTTGAATTGAGGAGAGTTTATATGGATTATATGGAAACACGCGAAAAGCCACATGTGGAAGAGACAGCTGAGCATAAGCTGAATTATGACGATCTGAGCTAGTGTCTCAGTAGAAAACCCGAGAGCCTCAATAGATGATACCCAACTCTGTACTCATATAGATGATAATGACACATGGTATGGAACCATTTTCATCAAAACTGTCATCATAATCGCTAGCGGTCTGCACTTATGCAGGCCTGCGACCCATCGTTACCACTCTGTAGATATCGGTCAGTCAAACAGGTCGAAGGCAGGTACGAAGTGGTAGGAAACTAACACCGGCATATACGAATGATACTTCGGATTACCAAGGTCCTTCCTCACTTGGTCCAGCAACGCGGTTACCTCCTCTTTGGTCATGCCCCCAACTCCTATCAGTAGGCGTAAACTAATAGCTTCCAGCCCATCGCCAAGGTCCTTTTGGAACCACAACGCGAGCCTCTTGTTTTGTTTTCCTTTGACCCAGTGATTACTCGGCCACACAAAGTGTCGTTCAGTCACATCTTCCAGTCCGGCCGCCCGGAACAGACTGGGATATCGCTGGCTGTAGCTCATGTCGCGCCCAGCTCTAGCAACGCATTCAATCATCACGTTATTCCATCTCTGCAGCGCCGAGCCGTTCCAACTATCGTCAATGCACCGCATGGGGATCACGATATCTTGGTATTCGAGCCAGCCACCCGGAGCGAGTGCGGATGCCGCCGACCGGATTACTGTCTCTGGAGACTTGAAGCAACTTGCTAAAGCTCGGCCATGGATTAAGTCAAACTTCTGTGGGTATACCCATGGATTTTCAGCGTCCTCTATTTCGAAACTTCACAACGAATTAGCGAGCTCGTGCAGATGCTCGAGCGTTGTCTTGTCATTTACCTGCAGTTCGGCGGGACGCTGTGAAAGGAGTCAGCCGAATACCTTAGGCGAAAATTTTAACAATGACATACTATTCTGGCTGTATTGGGCTCAGATCTATCCCAAGGACATGTGCTGAAGGGTTACGAAGTGCTATGAAGGGTTAGTGTGTCCCCAGCGGAAGTATTGTAATCCTACCGAAGTCTATGGCCCAGATACCAGTCCCGGTCCCTATGTCGAGAACATTGTGAAGCTGTCCAGTGGGTGAGAGATGCAATTGATTGTCGAATGTGAGTAAGAATAATTGGTGCTGGAGATCTGGAGCTCTTAGATGAATTCTGGCAGACCGAGCTCTCACAAAACTCACCAAGACGCTCTTGTTCCGACTAGAAGATGATTAGTTTATGAGACACTAATGTAAGTACATTTAGCAACACTGCGCACCTCGTCATTAGGTAAGAAATATTCTGCCATATTGTTAGTCCTCGTTTGATGCTTGGTAGGGAGGTTTCCTTGCGTCTTTCACCATAGCTATGATATGTTCGTCCATGCTCCTCTATGAACTCATAGACACTTGACCGGACTGACTGGCTCAGAGTTCTATTCGTTACGTGCCATTAGTCTTTGAGATTCGAGCTTAATATTATTCTTGACTTGATGTGCATGTCCTAGCGCTATCGAAATGAAACTTCTTGAATGGGTGCAAAGAGATATATTGTAAACTCACGATGCACCAACGTCTCCTACCGCACTATCTGCATCTTCCGAATCGACCTCGAGAAGCTCAGCCATTGGGTTTGAATACGGTGCGCCAACATGGTTCGGCAAATTGGCCATATCAATTGGAGCAGGCCTCTGTATAGTACTTGAAGAAGTCCGAAGTTGAGATCCTTCCTCACTTGCAACGTTTTTGGGATCTTGAGAGGTCACTGTTAGTTCTGATAACCAAGCATTGCTGGTGTAATTGGTCATCACAAAGAATACTGTACAACTTATATGGTGATGCTGTGAGAATATCCTCAACTGGGAAACACTACCCCAACTCCACAAAGCTGTAATTTGGGTTGAGACTATTTAGACTCAAGAAAACCATACTCACCAGACGCACTAGCTTCTGAGACATTGAAGTCGCCACCTTTCCCAGAGACTACTTCTGGGTTGCTCTGCCGTCCCACACTCCTCCCGCCATTGTCGTTGGCGGGCGCAGACTCAGTGTGTGAGTCGGCCATCTGCAGCGGTTCGGGCGGAGAAGCCATTGGCGGGATGGGGGAGGAGGGTATCACAATCACGCAGGTTAGCTCCAGAGGAACAGCAGTACTACGCAGCAGAAGAAGAGCGAGTCCAATGCGATTGACACAGGCTAAAGTCCACCGGCTCAAATAGTTTTGTGTCGTGTACGAATATTAGGGGACGTGATTCAGTGACAGTCTGACCGAGTTATGAAAACCTGGTTCTCGAAAGACTGGAATTCGGCCCGAGTTTGAAGTTAACAATGCGGCGAAAACGAATGAATACGTCTCGCGTATCTCAGTTCTCCGCGAGTACTTCATCAAGGTACATGGAGGAGGGGTTGTCCTTTACTGTTCGTGGAGTGGTACTGTAGTGTGCAATGACCGTCCAATAAACTTTTGAAATGTCATCACCAACATTAAACCCCAGGAGTAAATGGCCTTTAAAGATTTCCTCTTCGGGAGACATCAAAAATCCTTGTCAGTGCAGCCTGGGATAATTCTACTGCAGAGTTCCATGCTCAAACTGCCATCATTGTACAGTCACCACACAATGGCTAGGTTGTCAACATGTCCTTGCATGTATTCGTTCATTTGTAAGCAAATGGTTCACCAGTCACTGAAATGGAAAAGCCGTTGTTATCGCATGGGAAATAATAGAGCAAACTTTGCATCCCTGCTACTAGGGAGTTACCATTAAGAGTCGCCCTACTCTAACATACGTTCTTTATACATACTCCAGGCATGGGTTCTTGTCGTTGATCAAGACTCCATAGACCGACCTGAACTCCTTTCCCACCTTGCCTCCTAACTCTAATCCGATCTAGACCGTACTCACATAAAGTACGTCGTCTTTCCATAGCTACTCGATTTCCACTTTGAAGTCCTTGCGCGAAAACGATACGCAATCAAAATCCAAGACGGCAATGTTGCCGCATTTCTTCACTTAATACATGTGAGGTAAACGCCTCATCCTAGAAGAGAAAATGGCGTTCAAGTTGAACACTCCATTCGTGGCTGACAGGAAGGGAGAAAAGGGGCTCTTCAAAGGTAGAGATGACCGACTTTAGTCGTGCTTCGATACTTATGCTGGGGGTCGAGGCAAGCCTGCAGAAGGAGCAGGGGACACGCTTGATGCCGGTATAGATGCTGGGCTAGCAACAGAAGGTGCAGCGCCGTTGACTCCGGGAGTAGAACCACCAGTGGGAATCTGTGGACGCGGGCTGGGTGAAGACTGGCTCAGACCACCTGGCATACCGGCTCTCTGAGCTGCCAGTTTGGCTATATCCACATTAGGGCCGCCAAGTCCTATGCCAGCCAGCCCAGAAACGGTGTGATGAGTTATCTTCTCACCCAAATTCTGGTTGTGTTGCATCTGCCGCGCTATGGCCTGTGCTTGCGTTTGTGCTTGCGACTGTGTGGCTTGCTGATGAGCTTGAGCTTGTAATCTGGCATTCTCAACAGAACGTTGATGCTGAGCATCAGACATAACGGTGTGATAACCCGATATCTGCGCGCCCTGTGTGCCTCCTTGAGATGAATGAGATGAATATCGTCTTCCGGAATCCGGAGCACCTCCCTGTTGACTCGGAGTGCTAAACGATGGTGTTCGATTGAGCTGTGTATGTGGTTGCGGAGATTGGCCATATGCCGCGGGATGCTGGGCGCCAACTTGCGGAGACATTGTGCGAGAAGGCATGGCGCCGTTAGCATATTGCGGATATCCTGGCTGGCGCTGTGGCGGCACACCTTGTGGAGTTTGTTGCGGGGCGTAACTTGGATATCCGGGCGTGTATCGTTGACCAGGAGTGCCAGGAGTTGCCGCACCACCGTATCCGGGGTGTTGAGCAATGCGCTGTTGGCTTTGTGCAGCTTGGTATTGCGGCATATTGTTGCCGTACGGTGTCTGTGGCTTCCCAAGCTGCTGCGCATAGGTGGCTGCTGGATATCCATTCGGAGGTCTGTAACCCTGAGGCATTGGAGCCCGTGGTTGAGACTGAGCTCCAGGCATCGCTCCTGCGACAGGCCGTTGAAAGTTGTTCCCAGCCGGAGGACGGGCTGGAGTCTGCGGATAATACTGCTGAGGCACAGGGACGGGACTATGGCTGTGCATCGGGTATTGACGACCAAATTGATTCGTGTATTGTCCAGGACTCGAGATGCTTCCTGTGCGTTGTGCTGTAGGCCGAGGAGTAGCAGCAGTCTGCATGACAGCTTGCTGTTGTTGTCGAGCTCTAGCGGCAGGCTCATCCTCCTCCATGACTCCTTTGTACTCATCTGTCCGAATCTCGATTTTCGTGCTTACATTGAGATCTTCCAACTTGTCCGAGTTGAGTCGGGCAACTGCATATGGTGGCAGTTGCTTTATGATCAAAGCCAGCTGAGCTTTAAGAATATCGTATGTGGCAATTTCTTCTTCTGATGGCTGCTGAGCAAGAGTGCCGTTCGCAAGCATATCTCCGTTGACAGGGTCTGCAGAGTAGCGATTCTGGCTGGTCGGAAGTGTGAGATTGCGGTTTCTTTGATAAGATGAAAGCGTCTCAATGAGGTCGGACACTTCCTGGAGGAGTTCGTCGACGTCACTCTCATGAGCTGTTTTCTTGCCCATGACCTCTTCCAAGCCAGGGTCAACAACGCTGGGATCCCACTCCTCAATTGCGTTCTGGATCAGGTCCTCATCAATCGGGAGAGGGGTCACGGCATCTGCGTCTTTCGGTTCCTCAAGCTCACTCTCTGGTGTTTCCAGCTCGATCATTCTCTGAAAACTTCGCTGGCCGAAGCGCTGCCACCACATACGCCCGAGTTGACCAGACGGGACAATTGCAGCAGAATCATCCTTAGAAGGAGCAAAACTAGAGAAGGCACCTCGGAACAAAGCCTCCATCTCCGACATCTCCAGTTCATCAGATGACGGCTTATGTCCAGCTAGACTCTGAGCGCGTTCACGTTGTTTCGTCTTATTTTGTGAAGACGGAGTCGCATTACTGTAATCGAGCCAGTGTCCTGTAGATATGTTTTGAGAATAATACGTGTCAGATCGATACTTAGGCTTGACCATTAATTCTGGATGGTAAAATCCGAGTATGTTGCTCTTCGTGGTACTCTTCGGGGCCTTTGGTGGTTGCAGCGGCGGCAGGTTGCGAGGGGCTGGGAAGAGTTCACCAAGAGTCAAGGTGCGGCCACCTTTCGGCAGTGAGTCTGACGGGACCACTACTGTTGTCGTGATTCCATTTGGTAGAGCAACAGGAGGAAGGGGCCGCGTAACTCCTTCGGGATGATCTGGAGTCGCTGTGCGCTTCTGCAAGCTTGAGAAAAGATGCTTGGGCTGTGGAGCGTTGCCATAGACGGTGAGAACAACACTGCCGGTGGATGAAGGGTGAAGTGCATCTCCCACATCACCAGATGCAGATAGAGATGGCTCAACTATCGACTTCGGGTACGCACTCTCGCGACGATACAATTCATGAGCCTTATCTCTGAACTTGTTCGTGTCGACGATAGCCGCGTCACTGTCTTTGACGCTCTCATTGGAGCTACTTGACTGCAATTCCGCGATCCGATCCTTGACGACCGCTCTGATGTCAAGGAAGACATCGTCGAGGACCTCGTACTCATCCTGTAGTACCTTATCTTCGATAGATAACGGTTTGGTACCATCGTCGGACTTTTGCCGTTTCGCCTCTGGCTCTTCGGCATTAGCTGGCTCGGGGATCGGTCGCTTTAGAATAGAAGGGTTGACATCGTATCTGAATGAGGGGTCCCTGTCAGCGATGATCTTTCTGGACGACATGGAAGATAAATCCGATGCGATGGCATCAAGAATGATCGCTTACCTCTTCACTACTTCCAAGTAATTGCGAATAAGCGTTTTCTGATCACGGTGGAGGTGATTGCCGTTGACTGCCGGCTTGGCCTCGTCGGTGACGTTCTCCTCCGCAGCGGAGCCATCGTCGCTGACATCGCGTTTCCGCTTTGTGGAAGAATTGATCGACTGCGGAGAGCCAGGGTGAGGCGAGGCAGAAAGGCCGTTGACCTGCGGGACGGCAACATCTGGCGACGCCATTTTTCGGTGCTGCGGACAAGGAGGAGGCGCGTCCCGCAGTGGATGGTTGATATGGTCGGTCGTGGTGGTGGACAAAGTATGGCGGTTTGTTCGCGCTGGCGCGTTCGCGAGAAACGATGGGCCCTCTGCTCTGGTGCAAGCTCCAAAAACCTCGTCAACACTGCAGCGCACGGTCAAGACAGAAAATCATCGAATCCACCGCATGCATCGAAGGAAATGTGCTGCAGGTTACAATACACTCATCCCTCTAGGCACACGAGATTTTGGAACGGCCTTTTCTTCAGTTCAATTGTTATTGCGAAGGGAGAAGAAGGGGGCTGTCGCTGCTCTGGGTGATGCTGGCTGCGAAAAAGCCAGGCAAGGCTAATTGTTGCGCTAGTCTGAGAGCATCCTAGCGTATAACTCAGACCATCCTGCCGATCACGTGGCTACCGGTACTGGCAGTCCTCGCCATTTTGTCAGTGTTACGGTGCTTTACGCAAGCATTTAGGCATGCAACTTACGGGTCACTTCTGCAGTTCTGCTACATCTAAAAGCTCTTCACGTAGGTTTAAGGCCTGCCACTCTGAGGTGTGCATATGTTTTGTTGGATTGAATGCTACTTTACAATAGGAAACTTGCTGTGTCGTCATACGAGCTTGTATGAATGATTTGGGTCCGAATAGACCAGAGTAATGAAAACCCCAATACCACCAGAGAAGAGGGTTGATTAAAGCGTATGTTGTGTGCGAACGCAAAGGGACCCTGCATCCAATCCTGACCATAAAATACACCATCGTCTTCGCCGAGAAGTTACTTGCAGTCTCAGATGCCCACCACACCATGCTGTTATTTGCCTAATACATCAACCATCTTATTTGGCCGCGGCAAGACCAACAGTGTTGGAGCCGAGATCATAGATGGAGTACCACTTCCGTAGGAAAGCATCGCCGAGAATGGCGAGGGGGCCAACGGGCTCGGGGAAGTCCATACCCATGAAGGTGGAGATGCAGCTGCCGGAGACTTCGAGGATGTAGTCGTACGGGGTGATGCTGAAGTTGTAGCCGCTGAGGGTGAAAGTGACATCCGGCAAGCTGTCACGCTTGTCGCACTCAACTGAATACTGTCCGTTATAGCCCTTCTTGGCGCCAATCTCCTTGTTCATCATCTCCGCCATGTTAGAGGGCAGAGCAATCAGAGAAGTGCCGGTGTCCAGAATAACGCCGGTTTTCTCCAAGTCAGCAGTGGCATCACCGAATGAGATGGAATCAAGATCAACCTCCCAGTAAGCCTTGCGGCGCAGAGGAATGGTGGTGATCTTGCCAGTGTAGTGATCCTTGTCAACGCCGCCGAAAACAGCCTCGGACTCATCTCCCTCATCATTGCCGCCTAGGTAGAAGGCGAAAACAGGCTCGTCAAGAAGCTTCTGGTTGACCATGTTGTAGAAAGGTGGGACCATCTTGTTGACAGAGATGGTGTCGTAGCCAAGACCGAGGATACCATCAAATCGGCCAAATGCAAACGCAAGACCGGGCTCGCTAGTTGCCTCAGCGAAGTCCTGGGACTTGATCTTGAGATCACCAATTGTCATGACATCCTGAGACACGAAACCACTCAAGCTACCGGAGCCGTAGTGGATCTCGAAAGAGGTGCCGTTCTTCTTGTAGGTTGAAGAGGAAGACGAGTCGTACTTCTGGTGCAGATAGCATGCAATGCTACCGCAAGATTGAGATGGAACCCAGAGGTTAGAGCTGCCAGTGTCGAGGACAACCTTGAAGGACTGAGGTGGCGTGCCGATGGTGATCTCGGAGAAGTCTAGGACAGTGTTAGAGAAAGCTACAACAAGCTACAGAGTACTCTTACACTGTGCGTTCATGAAGTTGCTGACAGGGACGGGATGGAGGCCGTCGACCTGCACAGCTCCCTCGCGGAAGACGGCGTCAGAGTGGGTGTCCGGTCGAATACCCATGTACTTCTGACCGAGATGCTTCATCTGAGTCTCGAGCGGAACGCTCTCCTATGGCTGATGTCAGTACTTCTCCAATGTTGTTTCAGAGGTTACGGATGAACTAACAAGCTGCTCGCTCAAGGGTACCTTCTTGAGCTTCATCTTGTGGACACCAGCTTGAGCGGAGCCCAGCAGCACAGCTGCGGTAAGCAGAGCACCCTTCATGATGGGCAACTCCTTGGGCAGGCGGAAGATCGGAAAGGAAAGAAACAAGTAATAAAATGAACGAGAAGGGCGGATGTGACGACTGGTGGGTTTGGGGATTGATGATGGCGAGAATGATGTTTGTTGTTGATGCGGAGAGATGAGGAGGAGATAGGTGATGGGGGAGAGAGCTTGGATGGATGGGGTGAAGAGTGGCGGAATCGGCGACGGAAGCAGCAACCAGCAACGACTGCGACACCAGGTGGGTGCCTTCCCTCATCTGTGCCTTGTGACTGACCATGACGCAGAGAGATACGTGGGCCTTGCCAGACTGGGGTAACAACGCTAACTAACATGCGCATCCCCTGGCAGCCGTGGCTGTTACAGTCAGTAACGCTATGGGTCGAGGTGGCTGGGAGCAACCGAGGACAAACCACCAATCAGCAGGTCAAGAAGTTCTTGGCCAGGCACAAGCGCTTCAGGTCCAGGCTGCTTACATAACACATATATCAATACAGGTACGGCGTATACAGGTACTATGCAGTAGACTAACAAGCCTAGCAACGTTTAAGTTGATCCGGTTTCAAGGGAACCACACGCCTGGTGTTGCCGGAAAGATGCAAGCTTATTTTTGCACCTTACCCATCCCATGCAGGGAATGGAGTGCTTGCTTCCAATCCCGTTCCATTCCTGGAACCTTGATGACTGACCTAAAGACAATGCATCTGACATGCTGGCTTTGGAACATCAGCCAAGGCGCCTTACTACTTGATTAGGTCGGACAATCGAGATTGCAGCCGACGACATGGTTGTTGGGCTCTCGTTCAGCTCTTTCGTTCTTGCCAAGATGCTCTTCTTTCGCTTCCACTCTCGAACCATGCAAATTCTGTGTTGGATTGATCCGGTTAGCGATAGTATACGAACGTTGGTTGGGACAATACCCACAGCACACCGGCCCCAAATAAACAGCCTGCCATACCTGTCCCGATTCCAATTCCAATTTTTTGAGCCAGTGTGAGACCTAGTGTAGTTAGCAAATGAAAGAGAAAACAGCCATTGCATTGCCCGCCCCATATGATACAGGGTTGCCGCACACAGCAGAATTCGAACTGAAGCTCACCAGTCATGCCAGGTGATGCACCAGGGGCTGAAGTAGCAGTCGAAATAGCAGTCGAAGTTGGATGGCTACTTCCAGTCCCGGATCGGGTAGAAAGAGTAACCGTCGACGACGATTTCGAAGTAACGCTATCTGATGCTGAGCTTGTGATTAAGTAAACCGGTATAGTTGTGCTCGAAGGACCGCAGCCGTACGCTATTGCTGAAGCGTCTATCCAGCTGTAAGTTACACATGCCGGAACCTGCCCAGAACTAGATGAATCTCAGTATCGACTTCATTCCAAATGGCTGCTTTGATAGTTACCAGGTGAGCACATTTCTTGATGTAATCACTGGCGATTGACCATTTGTTTCCACACACGATGTGAACATCTCACAACTTTGGCTCTCACAACAGCCCACAATTGTTTTATTGGACTCGGATGCCAATCCTGGCAAGGCAGAGAAAGAACAATATCCTCGATTGCATGAGTATGCAGAAGCTTCAGACAATTAGCCGTGCTCATATTATTCGAGGCGGGTGGGCTGCGTTACATCCAATTATATCTGCAAAGCCGCAAGTCTGGGGATCTAGACTTTGATTTCCTGATTGACATTGACTGTCACCTGAAAGACCGCAGGTTTCTATGCTCTGTGCCTGTCGTCTTCGCCTCCGTAACGCAGCCCGGCCAGGATCCGGGGGCGGGGTCACAATTGCTGGGACAGGTGAAGTAATCACAGAGGTAGGCTCGTTTCCAAACACAAGACAAGGAATGCAGAGGTATATCGTCAGAGCCAATAGCGTAGGCATATTCGTATCAAGTGAATCATTTGGTGATGCTGCCTTGGAGAGGAGACTGCGTTCGGGAATGGCGCTGCTACTTAATCAAGGCTCTATGTTGGAAATCAAATAACATTGCTGCGAGGCTCTTGTTCACCAAGCCGGAGCTATCTACTCTATCAAGGGATTATATATGCAGGTCGCAGGTTCTGTGCACGCCTTAACCACATTGGATGTGTTCTTGGGGCAGTGTGGCTTTTGCGGCTTTCAGCTTTCCCCGACGGTGGAGTTGATTGGGCCATGATGCAGGTCGCGGCGCAAAGGGGGCGTACAGCCTCCTCCTGTATTCCTTTGGCAGTCCACGGCCCCCATCATTTATCAAGTCATTTCTGAAGAGCCGGAGGCACTCCTGGTGCAAATTTGATTGATACGTCCTCGTCTTGTCGACGGGTTCTTGCCTCACAAATGACGTCCATACCCGACTGCTCGACGCTCGCGGATCTTGATGCATTTCCAGAATACATCGAACTTCTACGGAATGAAACAGCATTCAATCCCCCACTCTTGGCTTATTGCCAGAGCGACATATGCTCGGCTCTTTGGGGTATTGGTAATCCAGATGTGTCGGGGGTTGGGGTGAGAACATTCTCCGCAAAGACATGGAATACGGACTTACTTACAATAGACGATAACTGGGTACTTTTTCGAGAACATCCTGGGTTTTCTGTTAGCAGTCGCCTGTCTCGCCGATCAAAAGATTCAAGGGAAGAAGCTCTTCTGGGTTTCGATCAGGGAGCCTTTCTGGAAGGGATTTGCTGTATTCTATGACTCGGCAAGCTACTTTGCGCTGTCAATCCTAATTGCAAGCGTATACTCACTGGTCAAAAAGGACTTTGACATCAGCGCCAGGGGATTTGGGGCCTTTGAAACTCAGATCACATGGGCCGTAGATGTTGTTTGCATCTTGCCGTTACTTTATCCAATAGCTTTACTTCCCGAGGAACAGAAGCTCAAAATCTCGAACGACATGGACCGTATGAACTACGAGAAGATACAGCGAAACCAGACTCTGCGGGAGAAGTTCCGGCTCATTGTGCTGGGGTTAATCGTAACGATATTCATGTATCCTTTCATATCACAGTCCGTTCATTACTGGTCATCAACTCAAATAGGCGATGGGAACGGCGAAGGTGGTAAGACCATCATCAGTTGGGATGAATACCGCAATCTCACAGCAACATGTTTTGGAGACGCCAACCCTTTATCTAGTGCTGAGGAACGAGTAATCTCCGCATTTGTGATGATCGGATCTATTGCCATCATCCTCTTCACTACCTGGAGGTTGATACGGATTTTGACAGGAACTCGATCCCTTTGGAAATTCCCGCTCTGGACAAGGTTGATGGGGATAATTGGCGGGCTCAAGTTACAGAGTGGCAAGGGGATGTTGCATCTCTGGCGGCTTATTCAGATTGTCCTACTGTTTGGACCGATCAGTTTGGCAATACCTCTCCTGTGGGGAATCCTCAGACTCAGACAACTCCAGAGCAATCTTGCAATCGCAACAAGGAGTGCATACGCAGACGACGAGTGGACATTTGGACAGGTTGTATCGATTGTCATATTTGCGCCGGTTCTGTTCGAAATGTTGTACTGCTGGTTTGAGTACTAGGCTGAAAATAGCGATTCTCAGATAAAAGGATAAAGGGTTTATTGCGATACATTAATTCCTGATATGAAACAAATGAGCAGGTCATGGCAGTCTATCTCTTCGACTTCATGACTAGAGACGTTATGAGAGGGCAGACCCCCCCCAAACCGCCGAGGTATGATACCCTCATCCAAATATCGTCGTAATCAACTCACCTGTGTGGGATAACCAAAGAAATAACCAAAAAGCAAAAGAAAATAAAACAAAAAACGAAGTTCGAGATCTGTCATGCCTCAAAATATCCCAAGAGCTGTGAGATACTTCAACATGGATGAGCCGTTCTCTCGCAGGTTGCGCGATGCGTGTAAGTGAGAACCCTTCAGTCTTCGGAAGCAGCTGCATGACGCTATTACAGCGTGCTACCGAAGCCCCGCCAATCAATGACAGGTACTTGAGTACGCCCGTGCCTCCCCGAACCCCTCGTGGGTCCCCCAAAAGTTGGTGCATTTTAGCGTGTAAGTGGAAATTTTTCTCCCACAAGCCGCCATCGCTCGACTTGAAGAACACATCCGACATCGTCCTCCTCCAAACTTTTACGCCCTTTTGTCTAGCAGTCCTCTTGACAAGTTTGTAGACCTCTCGGACCCGACTTTCTACTATAAACATTGACAAAATGGCTTCCAACGGCGCCACCTATGCTCTCTCCGAGTCTCACAAGGAGGTCAGTCGATCAGCGATTTACCCCGCCATGGGCATCCCACTGGCTTCACAGACGAGAGACTGACTCACCGCTTCTAGATGCTCGAGAAGTCTCTTCTCGACTCCGACCCGGAGGTCGCTGATATCATGGTAAGCTCTCCAATCCACGGAAGGGGCCAATTGGCGATATACTTATCCGCGGCCTGCAGAAAAAGGAGATCCAGCGCCAGAGAGAGTCCATCATCCTCATCGCCTCCGAAAATGTCACGTCCCGCGCCGTGTTCGATGCTCTGGGCTCGCCCATGTCCAACAAGTACTCCGAGGGCTACCCCGGTGCCAGATACTATGGTGGAAACCAGCACATCGACGAGATTGAGCTTCTTTGCCAGAAGCGTGCTTTCGAGGCCTTCCACCTCGACCCTGCTAAGTGGGGTGTCAATGTCCAGTGCCTCAGTGGCAGCCCTGCCAACCTGCAGGTTTACCAGGCCATCATGCCTCCCCACGGCAGACTCATGGGTCTGGATCTTCCACACGGCGGTCATCTGAGCCATGGTTACCAGACTCCCCAGAGGAAGTGAGTACAATGTCTAGGAACTCTTTCATTGAACTTCGCCACTGACCATGACCAAGGATATCAGCTGTTTCTACCTACTTCGAGACCATGCCTTATCGAGTTGACCTCGACACTGGCATCATTGACTACGACACTCTCGAGAAGAACGCCCAACTGTACCGCCCCAAGATCCTTGTTGCTGGTACTTCCGCCTACTGCCGCCTGATCGACTACGAGCGTATGCGCAAGATCGCCGACTCTGTCGGTGCCTACCTTGTCGTCGACATTGCTCACATCTCCGGTCTTGTCGCCGCCGAGGTTATCCCCTCTCCCTTCCTGTACGCAGATGTCGTCACCACTACTACCCACAAGTCTCTTCGTGGCCCCCGTGGTGCCATGATCTTCTTCCGCAAGGGAGTTCGATCCACCGATGCCAAGACTGGCAAGGAGACCTTGTATGATCTTGAGAACCCAATCAACTTCTCCGTCTTCCCCGGTCACCAAGGTGGCCCGCACAACCACACTATCACTGCCCTCGCTGTTGCTCTGAAGCAGGCTGCCACCCCTGACTTCAAGGCCTACCAGCAGAAGGTCGTTGCCAACGCCAAGGCTCTGGAGAACAAGTTCAAGTCTCTTGGCCACAAGCTGGTGTCTGACGGCACTGACTCTCACATGGTTCTCCTGGACCTGAGGTCATTCAGCTTGGACGGCGCTCGTGTTGAAGCTGTTCTCGAGCAGATGAACATTGCCTGCAACAAGAACTCCATTCCCGGCGACAAGAGTGCCCTCACCCCCTGCGGTCTCCGTATCGGC